AGAGCCTAAAGGTGCAGAACGACGGGGTCAGTGACCCTGCCGTGCCGGCCGGCGCTTGGGTGCAGTTTCATCCTCCGGCGAACGACCAGATCCTGGTCCGGGTCGGTGTCTCGTTCATCAGCGAGGAGCAGGCGTGCAAGAATGCGGAGGCTGAGATCCCCGGCTTTGACTTCGACGCCACCCGGACGGTTGCCGAGGAGTCCTGGCGAGAGAAGCTGGGTGTCATCAGCATTGACTACGGTGGCGTTGACGAGCTGTTTTACCGAGCCTTCTGGAGTGGCGCGTACAGAGCCATGATATCCCCGCAAGACTACACTGGAGAGAATCCTCTGTGGTCGAGCACGGAACCTTGTAAGCACCCATGCCCCGAACTGCACCTAGTTTACTGACACCAGAGTATAGACTACGACTCTTTCTATTGCATCTGGGACTCCTTCCGGACAATCCATCCCCTGCTCACCATTCTCGACCCTCACAGTCAGACTCTGATGATTAGAGCCCTGATCGATATATATCGGTTCGAAGGGAAGCTTCCCGATTGCCGCATGTCCCTTTGCAAAGGCTTCACTCAGGGCGGCAGCAACGCTGATATTGTGCTTGCGGACGCGTACTTGAAAGGCCTGACTAACGGGATTGACTGGGACAAGGGTTATGAGGCCGTAGGCTCGGATGCGGAAGGCGAGTCCCCTCGGGAAATGTCGAGATATCCGACCTAACAGTAGAGCAGATGAGCCAGCCCTGTGGTCCATAGAAGGTCGTGGCGGCCTTCGAAGCTGGAAAGAGCTAGGTATGTTGAGAGGCCTCCGATATCTCTGCCTAGCTTCAAAAGCTTGCTGACCCTGTCGACAGGGTACATCCCTACGGACGATTTTGATCCCTATGGCACAGGCCCATTCACGCGGTCCATCTCAAGGACTGTCGAATACGCATATAACGATTTCTGCATCGCCGAGATGGCCAGAGGCTTGGGCCATGACGACGACGCGGAGAAATACCTGAGCAGGTCCGGCAACTGGAAGAACATGTTCAACGCCGAGCAGACTTCCAAGCTGAACCTGACAGGTTCTGAGGATCCGGCAGACCTCGTCGACAGCCCATTCACCGGCTTCCTCCAGCCTCGCTATCTGAACGGGACGTTTGGCTACCAGGATCCATCATTCTGCACTCCTATGAACAACTTTGACTCCTGCTACTTGAATGCCGACGGGCATGAGACCTACGAGGGAAGCTGTTGGCTCTACACATTCTATGCCCCTCAAGACATGGCAACTCTGATCGCCACGCTAGGCGGCCCGGAGACATTCGTCAGCCGGCTGGAGTACCTCCATAATACTCCTGGGCTCCTTTATTTCGGCGACGAGCAAGCGTTCCTTCTGGTTTATCTCTTCCACTATGCAGGACGGCCTGGCCTTTCGGCGCAGTACGCTCATTCGTACATTCCCAGCCAGTTCAACGACAGCATCGCTGGGATACCCGGGAACGACGACTCAGGTGCCATGGGCTCCTTCAGCACCCTCGCCATGATGGGACTCTTCCCGATCGCCGGACAGGATGTCTACGTAATAACGCCTCCGTTCTTCAAGGAGGTGAACGTCACCAACCCCGTGACAGGCAAGACGGCCACGATCCGGAACATCAACTTCGATGCGGCCTACGAAAACATTTATGTCCAGAGCGCCACCCTGAACGGCCAAAATTATGTCAAGAGCTGGATCACGCACAGCTTTTATCGTGATGGAGGTGTTCTGGAGTTGGTGCTAGGTAAAAACGAGAGCTCATGGGGTACCCTGGAGGCAGATCTACCCCCGAGTGCCTCGACGCATTTCTAGAATTGCTCCGGAGTCCAAAAGCACACAATGCTCTTGCGACTGCAACATAGGGTAGTTAGATGGGACAGAAGAAGCACTGATCATGATAACATTATCATTCGCTGCTTTTCGCCGCGCAGATGCAAAACTAAGGTGCCGAGTCCAATGTTACTCCCAAACCTGCCCAACATTGCTCAGTTCCGAGCATGTGATCCCTTCCACGCCTGTAGCATCTCTTTAATGTTCTTTATACCGAACTCCAAAATCAAAATGATGATTTTATGCCAAAGATCTCGCTGACCTGTTAGCTTCCTACTCCGACGGATGTGCAACAAATTGTGAAGTCGGAGTCTACGGGGTTGCGCTCGTCGATGGAGTGTTAACCTCTGAGCATTGTATGCGCTCCATGGAGGATTTTCGAGTAGGCGGAGAAACTTCCAGAGAGATCACCGTCACCTCTGGATCTCTTGGCCTAGAGCTAGGCCAGATCGTCCGACTCTCGTGGGCTGGGTCATTGCCCCGGAGCCTGGGAAACAATCGAAGGATGACAAGGCGGAGCACTGGCATGCACGCGCAGATGATACCTACGTCGACCTCGACCGTCGACCAGTACGAAGTTGATAGATTGTCCCAAGTAGGGTTCGTTGAGTTGGCGAATATTAGCAGCGCCCGGAGCCGAATGATGCTGACGACGGTGACGCTGCAGGCAACGGGTTAGCTCTAATTGAACAGCTCATCACCAAACTAGAAGGAGACTCAGAAGGACTCACAAGGCGCCGACACCAAACATCAAGGCGACACCAACCTTCCGCTTCCAGCTCAGCTTCAGGGCCCTAAGGTGGCTAAGGGGAATGCCTAGCAACCAGATGTCGAAAACAATATTGAGGATCGCATGGCCCCATGCAATCCAGTTGGAGTTCAGGCACCTTCCCTCGTGCTCGCCATCCCACTGCAGCCAGAAATACTGGATAGGCATACACTGGAAAGCGATGAGGCCGACAAGGGTCACCGCGGACGCGATCATGAGCACCAAGGTGCCCCAGAGCACACGCCTCACTGTCGGGTCCGGGAAGATGCGGAGGTAGAAGAGGATGATGGAAAGCTTGGAGATGGCCAGCTCGACAATGTACAGGATCTCGATGGCATAGTAGAACTGGTCAAGCCGGGTGATTTGATCCGGGGTTAATGTCCAGATGTCTCGGCCCAGACCGTTCGCCAGCGTGCCATGGATCTGGACAACGTTGCTGCCGACCCCGACGCAAGCTGCAACCAAGATGGCCCAGTCGTCCGCGTTAAAGGGCTTAACAAAAGATACGCCGTGCGCGATGTAAAGCCGGTAGGCGAGACGTACGCCGACGAGGACCTTGGAAATAACGGTGAGAGCGATGGTGCTGGTGATGAGCGAGCGACTCTCATCCCGGACAGGTGCACCACAAGTAGTCTGTGTTACATTCTTTGCGACTTGGTCGGCGTCAGCTTTGGAGGCCGGGAACGAGAGTGGTCTTTAGCCTCACCTAGGGAATCCCGAACGCTGCATTGCCGCAAGATGCAGCTGGATGCAGTGTCTTGCAAGACCGTATCGGCACAGAGACAAGGCTGGTCATTGGCACCGCAGGGAGAGTTAGATATGGCCGACAACAAGCACGGAGCCTGTCGTTCAGTAGTGAGCTGCCGTAATCTTAAGGCTTTGGGGTCAGGAAGCAGAAGTGGAACATACGGCACAGGAAGGCAACGTCTGGGTGACATCTTGCCCGGAAACCACCTTGGTGAGGACCAGGAAGCTCACAAGCAACGCTGGACGCAAGAACATGGTGGCATGTGGCCGTCAGTCTGAGCTGCGGCAGCGGCAGCAGGGATACGAGGATGCCGGGGTGTTCTTCCTCACGAGATCATCGTTTTGGCGTTGACGAACCGAAGGAATGATAACTGCCGCGCGGGAGCACAAGATAGCGACCGAAGAAGTTCAAAAGAAAGAACACTCGTGCGACCGTTCCCCTGCGGTGACAGGAGGTGCAGGCACAGCTGACCTGTGCCGCAGCCCCAGGAGAAAAATACGGTGGCGGGCCCGAAGGACAGGGGCCAAAGACCGAACCGAACCACCGCAGCAGGGTCGGGGTCAAGCCACACGGCCCAGCACCGAAGGGCTAGGGCCGCTCGGGGACGGAACCGAACTTGGAAGAGCCTGGGCGAGAATCCTCATAGGCCAGTTCCGGGACATTCGTATCGAGTGGGAGACGCGAATCGGCAGTCACAGCGAGGCATCCTCTGTGCACGTTCTGCCCTGTAGACTTGGACGATAGATAAATTAGCACATGCCCATGGAGCCTGGCTCTTCAGCCTTCGGTTTTCGCTCTGCACGGGCTAAACAAAAATGCGCAAGCAAGGGCGTGCGTCTCTGGATGTCTCCTTCGCAGCGACGCCCCAGAGCTTCAGACTCGGCACTGGGGCGCTGTTTTTCAGGGGGGCTGATTGGCTGGCCCAGGAGTGCTGTCCGTGGAAGGATCATGCTGTGCAGCCTACGCGCCAAGCGCTGGCGATAGCCCAATTCTGTAGCACCTGCCCGAAAACACGGGGAAGGGGCGACACAAGGTGAGAACTTTGCTTAACTTTTAGATAAAGGCAGTTAGTCGGGTCCCTCGTTCAAGACATGATACGCGCTTCGGCTGTCCACGCCACACGCATACTCTCTGTCATTTTCTCCGTCATATTCTTGCGCGCTCTTACTAGTGCAGGGCCTGCAGTTGTGCCCACGACATGCGTTGTACGCTGCTCGCAAGGTGGGAGAAGGAGGATTCAATAAATGTGGCCTGAGGCACTGAAGATACTCGGTACCATGAGGTTACAGAGGTAGGTAGGCTGGCGTTGTGTAGCCGACCTAGAATAGGACATATAGCCGCTGGTTGGCGGTACTCGGCCAGGCAGCCTTTGGGAACCCCCCTGTCAAGCACTCAAATTTGGAGAAGTTTGCGGGAGCCCCGCGCTGTGCCGCTCTGGCAGAGGACACAGCTTGCTGCAAGCCTTGGAATTTCTTTCAGGCTCCGCCATAGCAGCAGTCGGTCTTTCTGTAAGCCTCTCACTATTGACACTTTAGTACATGCCTAGAGTCAAGATTGGGATTGGGTGTACAGCATAGCGTTTCCGTATCAGCAGGTGCTGTTTGGATGGAAGGAAAGGGCAAAAAGGGGGAAAAGGTACCCAGCCCGGGACTCGAACCCGAATCTCTGGAGAATTCTCACTGTTACATGGGAAACCAGCATTCTACCCTTGAACTAACTGGGTCATGCTGCCGTTTTATGATGTTGCGGTCCAGGTCCGCGCACAAACATTGACTCGCCAGCGAGCTGCGAAGGACCCCAAGAAACGGAGCCCATATGATGTCGTCGCGATGTTCTCGGGATGTCACATATGCGGCCTGCCTTGCCTCGCAGAAAAGACTCGACATGTGATGAGGGTAAACAGAACTTCTCACCGTGCACGTACCTAGGTGGTGCCGACAGGCCCCGAAACGACACCGTTCGTAGCGGGAATGCACACTGGTACATATGCTTCTTGCCCCAACTGACGTTCTGGCGAAGTCACAGGAAGAAATATTTAGCAGAGATGCCATGAATGGTGGCCTTTCCGGGAACCTTATGGTACATATAATATGAGATCAAAGACCAACGAAAAACAACCAAGATCATGGTGATGGCTTGTCTCGAATAAAAAGAAGGCACAGTGAATGGCTGTGATACTGCGTTAACTAAATGGCTGGCCAACCTGTATCTCCATTTCATGCACGCAGCATCTTGGTAGATGACAGATGACAATGACAAAGAAAATGGCACTGTGCCTGCAGAGTGCCATTACCGCTTCATAAGTGTTTCCTCGCTTCAGCCAGTTCCTTTTGCCCTCCACCACGAGTTCCCATGAGATAATCCTAGGCCCGGTCAGTAATGAAGCGACCGAAAATAAGGTACTGGAAACGGAGATACTTACGACCAAGAAAGGCATCAGCCGGGTGAGAACCCATATGGTTGATGATAACTTCCCTCTCCATAGAAGCCCAGTCTTACCCGCAATGACATCGTTGACCACACGACGGGCAAACTCATCTGTCTCCGTCCCTTCCACGTTATTGGCACCCTGTTTCTTGTCGTTGATGATTTTATAAATAGGCATAAAGTAGGAGCCTTCGGACAGCGTCAACGGCTCCATCTTCTCGAACCATTTCGACTTCACCACCCCCACGATCAGCGTAATAACCTTGACGTCCAACGCCCGGAGCTCCATGCGCCAAGTCTCACTGGCAATAGTCAAGGCCGCCTTGGATGCGCAGTAGATAGCTTTGAAGTGAGTGGTTAGATTGGTGCCATCAACTTTTGGGGGCAATTTGTAGCCCAAGGCTGACTTACACGTAAACGGGTCTGGGGCTTCGCCGGCAATGGAGCTCACGTTTAGGATTGTCCCCTGGCCTCGGACAAGCAAGTGCTGGAAGGCCTGCGTGGTCCGCAAGACACCCCAGAAATTGACCTCGAATAAGGCCTTGGCCTCGTCAATGTCGATATCAAATACGGGAGCCGTGGTGCCCAAGCCGCTGTTATTGACAAGAACATCTAGCCCCTTTTCTCCGAGGGTTCCCTGGATGAATTTCACCGCTTCTTGGATCGACTCGGGAGAGGTAACGTCCAGCTGTACGACATGGACATTTGGAAGTTCGATCAAAGACGCGGATATCTTTTTCGTGTTTCGAGCCGTCGCAAAGACGGTGTAGTTGCGTTTCTGGAACTCGGCGGCGAGGCCACCACCGAGGCCACCCTCTGAGCAGCCCGTTATTACCACTGATTTAGCTGCCATAGTGTATGCGCAGAAAAGGGTTGCCAGGAATTCTGACAGCTGTTGAGGCTAGCCGGTCTGCCCCTTGATAGTGTCGCTGGATTGAGGAAAGGCATCGGGCACTGCTTGACCCTTTTATTCTCTTGCTCAACCCCTTAGGGTTCTGGCACTGTTGGCGTTGTTAGTGTCCATGTTGAGACAACAACGGTTAGGAACCGGAGCCGGAGTCAAAGGACCCACCCCGATACAACTTTCTGGCCGGTGTGATACGGCGCCCCGGCTCCGGTGGGCTGACTATCTGCCTATGCATGGAATAAAGATCGATTTAATAAGTGCAAAAAATCACCACGACGGAGGCGTATCGTAATTTGCTCACTTCAAGCGGAAATTAACTCGCCATAGCCATTGCATGGGTGCTTTAGAACTGCAGCGTTACAGATTGCCAGGTATGTTATAAGTTTACAGCTGGGCCGTTTCGTCGGGCCACTGGTCTACGAGATCCTCAACTCCGCTTCCTCTTACGAGACGGCCCATGTTCAACCTCACGCTCAGTCGTATGTACGGAGTCGACTCCCTCCCCTTGCTGATGAACCCGCCGCCCGGCGCCGTGATATCTGAACCCCCCGACTTCCCAAAATGGTGGCTAAACAGCGGCGGTTGAACTGTCAAGCAGACGGGCGCATTCCCGATGGCAGCCCGCTCACGACCCCGGCCCGCTTTCTCCTGCGCATCGCCGTCCGCGTAAAATCGATTCTCATAGCCGTGATTGCACCAGTCCCGCAGCATGAGGTCCCAACCAGTGGTGAAGGTTTCCAGGCCGAACTGCCACAGCAGTTTCCTCGCCCCCTGCTGGCTAACCGCGTATCCAATCGTGCATATGGTCCCGTTGGACGCGTGCACAACCCGTGTGTGGTCCGGGTACGCCGAGGCAAGCTGATCCTCCAAAGCCAAAGGATGGGGTTTTAGGTGCTTTCTCATCGGCACGGTCTCGTCAAGATAGCGGACAACACGTAGAAGCGGCAGGCCAGGACCTACTTTGTCGCCGTCGCGTGGCACTGCGGACGGTGCCGGAAACTCGGTACCGCAGTGACCCAGCCAGAGGACATCCCAGCCGTCCCCGAACGGCGACGTGGCTGGGGACACCGTCCCTGGAATCTCGTTTATGGCTGGGTCGAACACTCTGGGCTCGATTTCTCGGGAAATTTCGATATTCGTTCGCTGTGGATTTGCCTGCAAGGGCTGAATATACGCTTGCGTAAGCCTTGTGAGGTCTTGCATTTGCCGTCCAAGCCGGATGTCCCAGTCGGCGTCGTCCTCGAGGATCAACGCGCTAGTGAGGTTCTCGTGAATCACCCTACCCCTTGTTAACACTACTACAGAGACAAGCAACAGAGATCGTTGGAAACGTGCATCTGTAGAGCATCCATATGTGCTCTCCATGATCCTTTGTTTCCCACCAAGATCGACCTGTTTCGACTGTCTGCTGGGAGCACCCGGTCGTCCAGATCTTTACCGTCCCTGCCGTTGATCCAGCCAACCTGCAGGCCCGTCAACGCCGCAGCGAGCGTCATAGCATCTCTCCGATCTGTCCGCGAGGGCAGGTTGATCACTAAGATCTTCTGGAACTATAGCACTGGTGAGCGATCACCACCCTCTCAACAATGAGGTTCCACGCACCCCTAGAGTTGAATTCAAGGCCTCAGTGAGAAGGGGACCCGAGGATTTGCCATAGTATGCTATGGCTGTGGTGGGCCAGTTCGCGGGTCGGAGGAGAAGGAAAGTAATCGCTGCGGCGCAACATGCGAGCAGCACGAACCGGCGCCTACTCATTTTCCCTGCATCTATTCACAGGATAGGCAGGACTCGCTGCTGCCGTTGCCGATAGATCTCAGAGCATGCACCTGGTTTTGCACTGATTATCCTAGAGGGCTGAGCTGTAAGCATTTAAAACTACGAGCTTTTAACGTGTCATCTAAGTCGAGCGAATGTTGCGATGTCGTCCGCCGATTAGGCGGTTAAATGGATAAACGCGACGAAGCACGTGTCTATATCGCAAAAAGGTCTATAGGAGAGTTTATGGAGGATGGAACTAGCATTTATGATGCCAGGCCTGTTCAAATGCGGCGATCTAACATTGTAGAAGTACATGTTTACCAGTTTCGGTGCGCCGTGTTGCGCGTAGAACCCCCCAGACGCCACGCCCATGCTGTCTATCGCCACAATCCCTCAAGGAAAATGCTTCTTCGCCTTCTATTATACAATGGAGTACAACAATGTATATGACATGCATAATCGTGATGGAGCAGTGAGATTGGCGCATCACTTCGCCAAGAACTTCTGGAACGAGGACTGGTCGATGACCACGTTGCCAACGGCCTGCAGCCTCTTCCGTCCAGCTTTCTGCTTCTCGAGCAGCTTGCGCCGCCGGGAAATATCGCTAGCATGCAGCTTGGCCAGGACATCCTTTCGGAACGGCTTCAGTGTCTCACGGGCAATAATGCGCTTGCCCACCGCGGCTTGGATGATAACCTCTGTTCCTCGTTAGTCATGCGCCTTGTGCAAACTGGGCGCAGAAGATAGTACTTACCAAACATCTGCCGGTCAACATGCTCCTTGAACTTCGCGGCCCAGTGTCTGCCCAACCTCTGGACCTGGCTAGTGTGCACGACCCGGGTAATGGCGTCAACGGGCTGCTTGTTGACGAGCAAGTTCAATTTCACGAGGTTGCTCTCCCTCCAGCCGGCATCCTCGTAGTCTAGTGTTGCATAGCCTTTACTCGCCCCCTTCAGCTTTCCAAACAAGTCATCGACCAAGCTGGACGATGGCATCTCGTACTTCACGATGACCTGAGTCGCGCTGAAGTACTCGACGCTCTTCTGGATGCCGCGGGCGTTCTCGCAGATCTCCATCACGCGGCCGAGATACTCATCAGGTGTCGTGATCGTCGCCGACACAAAGGGCTCAAAGAGGGTTGCATTTCGCATTCGAGGATCTTCGGGTTCCGGGAACTCGGCAGGGTTGGTGACGACGATCTCTGTACCGTTTGCCCACATAATCTTGGTTGGAACTGCTGGTTCTGTGATGATGATGTCAGCGCCGTGCTCTTGCCTCAGCCGGTCCTGGAAGACCGAGCAGTGCAGACTTCCAAGGAAACCTAGCCGCCAGCCTGCGCCAAGGGCTTCTGAATAGTCTTTCTGTAGCGAGACGCTCCTGTCGTTAAGAACGAGCTGGCCGATGCTGTCCTGAAGCTTGCCGTGGTTGCTTTGATCTGTCGGAAACGCGGCCACGAAGACCATAGGTTTGGGCTCCTCGAATCCAGGGTACGGCTCAACGACACCTTCGGAGCCCACCGTGGTGAAAGTGTCTCCAATCTTTGCGTCCTGGATGCGCTTCATACCAGGATTGAAGTACACATACCCTACCTGCCCGGCGCGAAGAACCGTCTGCTGCACCGGCCCGGGATA